ATCTTCCCAAGTTCCACCTCTAGTTGCGCTAGATGCGAGTCAAGCCGTAGCGTGCGTCCGTTGTACGTCGCCAGGGTCAGTCTGTTGTGGTGGCCTCCCGTAGCCCGGAGATTCTTAGCACCCCCTACCCCACCGTTACCATGGTCGCCACCATGACCAGGAATAGTGGGGCTGCCGGGAACTGGGGGCCGTGGCCTTCGTTTTTTGCCCATAGGAGGTATTGCCCATAATCGCCACGCTGGGCAGGCGGGTTGGCGATCGCAGGGCGAAACTTTTCGCACCGGTAACGCTGCTGCCCGTCACCGGCCTGCGGTACTTAATTTCGCCTGTTTGTAAGGGACGGATATACCGCCGTCGGTCGGTCGCCAGAGCCTCGTTCGTTGACCAGCAGGATGCACCGCGTGCAGGTGAGGTTGGCTTGGGGCGAAAGATGGAAGTTCGCCCCCTTACATCCCTTTAAGGTTATAAAAGTTGAAATCACTGCAATATAAGTCCTTTTGGATCCGAAGCGGTTCTGTAACGTCTTATAAGTAATTACTCGGAGTGTTATAACCCTTCAGCGCCATATAAAGGTCGGACCGGAATCCTTTTAGGGGCGTAACTCAATAGTGTTTAAAATCGACTTACCCGACATTATTCAATCAAGACCATTTACTGAGAGCTTCGTATGAAAAATGATTTTGTTCGTAAAGTGTTAGATATTGTATGTTGGTCGTAGATCAGTGTTAGTTGGACAATGGGATAAGTGTAAGTGAGATATATGATTTTTGTACGATAAAGGATATTTTGTCACAATAGCCGTGTCCGTCCGATGTTAATACGTTTTGTTGTGGAAATGTATTTTTGGATCCTTTACTTCTTTCTTGTTGTGGTGTAAAAATAGATTGGTTTGTGTGTACATATTCTAAGAAAATAGTAACGTTATTGGTAATGTGATGCAGTAGCGAGGTTAGTTAAAATATTCTATCTATCGCATTCAAAAACAAAATTAAATCCTATTGTTATGTTTAACTTAGGACCCGTTTCGTGATCTTTTTCGATAGCCAAATATGCATGATATGCGGGGGTAGCTCCTTATATAGTTTCCTTTATGATTCACAACCCACTTTTAACATCTCTGGTCTGGTCAATTTACTTTGTCTTTTCTGAAAAACTTGCTCTTTGATTGTCATCGTTTCCGGGAGTGGCTTATTATCAGTTTTCTTCATGATTCACTGCAATTTTGGTGTTGCAGTGCAGTGGTGCACTTAAGCTACGGTGACCTGGTGACCCTTACAGGCGCTGATGGTTGTCACTAAAGAGGTTGTAGTGGGGTAAAAACCCAACACTCCTTAGTCTTTAGTTAGGACATTTTGTAGGTCTCCTTCAAAAATCAACCACAGAAGTACAACTAAACATCATGCAGACGGTCAGCTTCAATACTATAGAGAATACCAATATCGAGTACCTTCTATACAAACAAAATGTGGCAAAAAGTATTTTTTTTTTATGTTGTCGGTCGGTCATCAATTAGTGCCGTCCATGAATACTCGTATCCCCCATAGAAATTACTACTACTGCGTTACCCTTGGATTTGAGGATTGTGGATGAATGGCGGGGAGGGGCAACAATTGGGTCTCTGGTAACCTCATTCACACTGCGAAACACAACGTAAGTGTTGATTCACGCCGGTTTTCTGTGAGGCCGTGGTATCACCCCGATACCAGCCGGCCCATTCGTGCTAAAGCTCTCCCAGACTTAAATGTAAGCACATGACGTTATACCTATCCAGAAAACTCTATTTAAAACTCCATTAACCGATAGCAAACAGGAATTATAAATGTCTAATTAAATAATTAAAATGTCAATGTAAATATTATTTATTCGCCGCCGAGTGGATCCGGCGCGCGAATTGCAATGTGCTTACCCAATTATACGATAACAGTACAAATATGTATACTGTTTGTCGGCAATTAATTGCTTTGGCTATTTTTAATATAATGAGATATTACGTATGTTTTGTGTTAGCAGGTTTTCATCGTCATCAGCCTATAAGTGCCTACTGCTGAACAAAGGCCTCGTCTCAAACGGAGAAGATTTGAGCATCAATCACCACGCTTGCCGGTGGTGGATCGCCGATTTCCAACTTATAATTAGAAATATTAGGTCCAGGTTTCCTCATGATTTCCTTCACGTATGTCATGTAAGTGGTGGCTAAATAATCTTAGAAAGTACTTACAACATGGAAACCGTCATATGGTATTTGCAAGGTTTTGGGATGGGAGTGGGAGGATCCCGCAATTAAATAAATCAGAAGATATTATTAGAGGAAGATAACAAACTGTTTTTGTTATAGCATTTCCGTCAGTGAGTTTAGTGCCTTAAGAAGAAACTCAAGCCTTAAAGGCAAAAAGAGGCAAAATACATGTAATATTGCGGGTCATTAATATATTAAATATTAATGACCCGCCCCAGCTCCACGCGGATGCAATTCTGAGACAAAACTCCACTGTTTACTGGACACCTTTCTCCTCAATCACTCTAATACTTCTACTCCTCAATAATCTATGTATATACTTATAAAAAAATGTTTTGAAGATTTAAACATAACATAGGGATATAAAGGGATGATAAAGCGATTTGGCTTACTTACACTATGCAATGATAAGTTTGTATGCGCATCGCCACATGACTTTAATTGTTTAACTTTGTTAGCTACTTAGCATTAAATTATTTCGTCAATTATGCTTTTTTACTTACTCGCGTAGTCGATGTTTTTTAGGTTAATTTTTTGTAAGATCAGTGTAACCAATAAATTCACACCGATAGCATGGACACAAAACAGAGGTTTTATCCCCTGGAGGCTAGCGGCTCGTACAAACTTAATAAAAAAAGTTGTGCCGACGGAACCTCAACCTCAATCTCGTCAGCACATTTAGGTAACACTTGCATCATAAGCACACTATTACTAAGATGCTTTTCGAGGAAATTATAGAACTAATCTTAAGCTAAATTACTCCAAAATCACTCCGTCCAAAACTCGTATTACAATAGATAGATGTCAATCTGTTATTTTCCTTATCTATTTATATTATCTACTCAAAGGCTTATCAATCCTTTGATCTGCAGATCAGTGGCTATTGATCCAAGGATGGATATAAATAACAAAAGTTAATAGCATCGCTTGACAGCCGATTTGACATTTAAATGGAGTTTCTTATGGACGTTGTTTCTGGTATTTTATTATAATGGTTGTTATGTTGTGTGGCGATTTAAAGAGTGCAGTGTTTTTATCTTCAGTGTGTTTCTGTGAATTGTACTTATAACAGAAGAATCTTGAACTTTTGTATTGAGAGAAGGAAACTAGTAATAAATAAATTCATTCAGAAACCCTTAACGGATAAAGTAGGTACTGCTGTTTGATAAGGTAGCAAACTAACAGACACTGACAGACAGATCACCTGATAATAAGCAATCTACACCGCCCGTGGACACCGTCAACACCAGTAGTTACAAGTGCGTTGCCGGACTTTTGGGAATTAAGTATTGGGGAGAAGAAGCGTTGGAACTCAGGTAACCTTATTAACTCCGTGATTATTTCACGCCAGTTTTCTTTAAGGCCATGTAATCACTCCGGTAGAGCGGAACCGTGAGCGGACCGATTCATTTCGAAGCATGGATCTGCCCACACAATAAATTAGTCAGTCACTTCCAAAATACAAAAAGAAACAATATATTCAAAACGGCTAACTGAATAATCCCTTCTAATGAACACGATACATTACTTTTCTTATGAATGCTCTAAGATGAAGCTTTGAAACATGGCGTCGGATTGTAACAAAAATAAATCAGCTCAACGGCAACGTAGACATCAATATGGTATTGACTATATTTATAAGTAAATTGTGTCATCTCAGATAGAAGAGGACGAATGAACTGCCAGATTTCACAGATATGGTGAAAAAATATTCACGAATTCACTTCGTAAAGCTACAGATTCGATTTGGAAAAAATATAAATCGCATTTCGTGTTGGAAAAATGAGCTCTTGTGTGTGTGTATCTAAGTTTAGAAATATGAAATAAATATTGATAAATGTAAATCTGTAAATATGTAGGTATGTTCAAAGTAAAAAGTATTTTCAGTTATTCAATTTCAATATTGAAGTACTACCTACTATTTTATACTATGCGAATATTGCAAATATAAAACAAAACACAAATTAATATATTGAAATGAATTGCTGTTTCTCGTTAGTCTAGCTAAATATCTGAAATGGCTGGATAGACTTCTCAACTGGACGGTCTTGAAATATTCATGTAAGTACGAACATAATTATTTAAGTACCTACATTAAGATTAAATGGTGTGGTAACAATGGAAAAGTTACGTGTTAATATTTATTTAAGGTAATGATAACTCTCATGGCTGATTTTTATCAATATTTTAGATAGTAACTTGTCAACTAAAATCGATATTAGAATAACTCATTCATTATATAATTGGTAATTAACCAGTTTTAGAAACAACATAGAATAACTAATGCCCATTAAAAAAATTCAACTTTTACAATCAATTCAGCTCACTGCATTCACAGAAGAAGTGCTGCTGAGTTTATTGATAAGGAAACAGTGCCAAACACGAAAAGTACCTAAGTCCCCGTTTTCCCTGGGTGAGGCGAGAACGAGTGTTAGGTATACTTTTACTAACTGTTATTATAAAGCATCTTGTTCCTTCTCCTGCTGACTATAAGCCACCCTGCTCCTGCTCCTTCTTTAGGCCGAGGCCACGGTACCTTATCCCACAACCGTAACCGTATAGTACCTAGGTACTAGATTTCCGCTTGGTCTTTTTAGTTTAAGAAGAAAAGAAGAAGCCCGGTAGCCATTCTCAGATACAAAATTCTCCCGTGTTTAGTAATCATAATTAAATCAAATGCTTGTTTTTTTCCTTAATAAACTCGAAAATGGTTGGAACGATTGTTGTAGTGTATGGAAATATGAAAAAAAATTAACTTGCTAACCTCTGAAACTCTTTTCCCGTACAAACTGCTCAATATAGGTCCTATTAACTAAGTGACAAGGACGGATATATCGTTTTCTTTTTCTAAATCCAAATTATTGCCGCCTTTAGAACATTAGATATAAAATAAAAACAAATGACACGTCAGTGACGTCAGACCCAAAATGACAAGGACGGATATATCGTTTTCTTTTTCTAAATCCAAATTATGGCCGCCCTTAGAACATTAAAAGATAAAAACAAATGACATGCCAGTGACGTCAGACCCAAAATGACAAGGACAGATATTTCGTTTTCTTTTTCTAAATCCAAATTATTGCCGCCTTTAGTTCACTACAAAATAAAAACAAATGACACGTCAGTGACGTCAGACCCAAAATGACAAGGATGGATACACCTATCGTATTCTTATTTTAAATCCGAATTATTGCCGCCTTTAGAACATTATAAGATAAAAACAATTGACATGCCAGTGACGTCAGACTCAAAATGACAAGGACGGATATGTCGTTTTCTTTTTCTAAATCCAAATTATTGCCGCCTATAACATTATAAGATAAAAACAAATGACATGCCAGTGACGTCAGACCCAAAATGACAAGGACATTATCGTTTTCTTTTTCTAAATCCAAACTATTGCCGCCTTTAAAATATTCAAAAGTTATTTATTGTGTTCTTATTGTAAAACCACATTATTGCCGCCTTGTGATTTTACTTAACAAAAATTTTAGGTACGGTGGCATTTATCAATATATGTACAATCTTTACAAACTTCTTTCAGAAATGTTAATAATTTTTGTAGGTACTTACTGTCTTCTTGCTATCCTGTCGTGAATTATCTCGACTTTAACTTAAAATATCTTTTCCACCACACCAAGAAGTTTTCTTTTTCTCTTCCTCTGTCATAAGGTATATAATCTCACAAACAATGAAGTGATTTTAAGCGCCGTAAGCTATTGAACCTTGGCTGGTCTGCAGACGACGAGCAAGGCTAGCTGGTCACCCGACAGGAGCCAGACCCGTGCGTACGGCGCGTAGCGTTCCGTGCGCGCCTCAAAGGGTCAACAGACCACCAAAGACCCTTCAGGGCTGATGCTCAGCCGGGGTTCTGGTCGGGCGGCGAGCTACCCTTACCCTACTCGCCGTCCGCAGACCCGCGCTTACGGTGGCCGGAATCGTCTCTTGCAGTAAGGTACCGTGGATTAGACCTAAAGCAGGAGAAGGAACGGGGAGTTTTTAGTCAGCAAGAGTGGCACTCCATCTCGCCTCACCCTGGGCGAGAGGGCGAGAGAAACCATTCCGTGATTTTTCGGTTTTGAAACAAAACCCGCGTAGGTAGGTACTTGATATCTAAAAACGTTCTTGATATACTAAATAAATGTTTGCTGTTTTACTCTGTCACAAATCAATTAAATAAGTAAAGATAAATAAGTAGGTAATGTGCAAAACATTTTACGATAATAAACATAATATACCTATTTAGTACTAGCTTTTGTCCGCGACGCGACTTTGTTCGCGTGGAATAGTGACTTCCTATAGATTTTTGGTTTAAAAACTATCCTAATCCTATCTATCATTATCCTATCCGAATAGCTCGGTACAAAAAACCAAACTAATATTATGAATGCGAAAGTAACTCTGTCTGTCTTTTCTTTACGCCTAAACTAGCTAACTTATTTGTGTGTTTGGTACAGACATAGTTTGGAACTCGAGAAAAGGACATAGGATAGTTCTTAAACCAAAAATCTGCAAGAAGTCACTATTCCACGCGAACAAAGTAGCGGGCAAAAGCTAGTATTAATATGGCTAGGACTTATGGTAAAATACCGAATTGTATACCTACAATATAACAGGGTCTAAACAAGTAAGTAATTATAACAAGGTATCAACACAACTCACATTCATTTTAAATGTGACATTTCTTAGAATGATTCCACACGTAATTACGTCATTAGTTAGTGCAATCTAAGTTCCTGTATCTCCCTAGCATTGTACTAAGACTAAGACACGTGGCTAACACCTAATTACCGCCTACTTGGGTATGATTAACGTCTTAAGTGATGATGCACCTGAGCATTGTTAATTACGATACTATCTTTGTTAGTGAATGAGCTAATGCTTCTAATCTAACTGGATGTTACCGGTTTCAGCCGGTTGGATCTGGTTAAAACTGCATTTTGTAGTGTCATTAATGTACCTAAGTATGAGATTAACTGTGCCTCAATAAAAGAGTTCTTTTGAAATAAAAAAGCAACAATGTCCATTTTTATTATGGTCTATTTTAGAGGTTAGTAATTCAAATTAATGGTTTAGGTTTCATATTTAAGAATGTAATCATCTAATGTTTATTTTATATGTGTGTGTGATAGGTCTGCAAGCGAGCAGACGGAAGAGCTGATGGTAAGCAATCAGCGCCGCCCATGGACACCCGCCACAACAGAGGAGTTACGAGTGCATTGCCGACCTCTTGGGGATTGGGGAGTAGGTATTTGGTAATTTGGGGTTTGGTGAGGGGGGAGGGATTGGACCTCTGGTAACCACACTCACACGGTAAAGGAAAAAACTTTGTGAAAGCTAAGTTAAGGTTCACTCCTTTTCAGTGTAAAAAACCAGGCAGTGAGATAGTTAAGTTCTAGCTGATAATACTTCCGTACAACTGACAGCAGCAGAACGCAAAATGAATTAACATTTCTCTTTAAAAAAAAGTCCAATGACGTCACACGTGGACCCATTCATTCAATAGCTAGATGCCAGACCAATGAAGCAGACTAAATATTATTAAAAGAAAAAAGAAAAGACTAAAACCTCATTTCGCAGCGAACCTCATTTGAAAGCTTTAGTTCTATTTAAGACCGACCATATTGCAGTCGCTGTGTCGCCAGAAAGTTCGAATTATTTTAAAAATAATTAACTCCGGATTACAGAGACTTAGCAAGTTTCTTCTCAACTAAGATATCGCTTATTCGACGCTGTTAAATATCGTATTATACCATTTATATTTGAAAAAAAAATAACGACAACATAATATAATTTACTTTTAAAAGGGTTAACTAATTAAATGTTTTCACTTGCTGATGAAGATGATGATGATGGATTTTCATGTAATCATGTTTTAAGGATAATGTTTTTATACACTCTGAAAGGTACCTACATTCTCAAACAAGCCTTGAACTGGCATACCCAGGGGAAATAAAAGCGGGGCCGTCCTCGACAAACAAAAGGGGCGAGCATCGATATGACGTTGAGCGAGGTGAAACGATAAACTTAAGACCATTTGAGAATAATGACCACTGTTCTACCTAGGGTACATACGACTATAAATCAAGTCTAAATCTATATTTAAAAAAAACGCCATAAAGAAAAGACAAAGATATTTAAGTCAACTCAACCATATAGGTAGGTAAACTTACTTCCATACATATGTATATATCAGTCTGTTCATATATGCTTAAAGCCGTGTCTCAACCAATGAGCTTAGTCGAATATAAAGTTGTAAAAAGAATTTTAGTAGGATTTAAACACGAGAATATTAAAATAGCTTTTAAATACGCAGAAAAGAAAAAAAACGTGTTCTAAATTCAAAATTATTTGTTGATCAACAAATAAATAAATAGCCACGAAGGAACGAGGCTCCGCGAAATTTTATTTATGGCTACAATTTTTGAAATTTGGTACTGTCACTATAAATAGGTAAGTGAAAAAAAGTTCGTTGGTACCTAAGGATAGAATAATGTAATAGGTACCTAGGTAATTAATTTTGTTCTCTAAGGAGTTTTTCGTAATTTTGGTACATCTGGCTGGATTTGTTTGTGTAGTAAATAAATTTTTAATTAACTTAACAAAATACCTACATAATATTTATGTCTGTGGATAATCCATTACTAATGTATCCTGACTTTGATAACGTACTTAAATGGTTTGTTTATTGTTCGTTTGTAAGGTTTTTATGTCTAAATAGCTAAGAAGGCTGTGTTGTAGTTGTGAGCGACCCATGCTTCGGTTCGACTGGAACCACGACCTCACAGAAAACCAGCGTGAAACAATAACGCCGTTGTATTTCGCCATGTGAGTGATGTTACCTGATCCTTCCCCTCCCCAATCAATCCCCAATCCCTAAACCTACAAAGGCCGTAATCCCCAAAAGGTAACTTCTTCATTGCTGCGAGTGACCATGGGCGGCGTCGTCGTATCATCAGCTAATGCTTCTGCTTGTATGACATCCCATCATATAAAAAAACCATCTGAATATAGTATTTAGGATACTGTTACTACTTAATAATGATAACTACAACCTTGGTTATATTTATTCAGAAACGTATAGGTACAGTTTCATGAAAGAATATAAAATATAACCCGAAACACCAAACAATATACATCTCTGGACTTTCAATCTATTGTATATACTTCATCGTATCTACTATCTCTCTTTCTCTCTACCGTAAAAAAACAAAATTAAATAAGAAAATTATCTTGAAAGTTTGCCACTAAAAAAGTATTTATTCCATTTTTCAAATTAAGTATGTTTATGTATCTTATTGTCTTCGAACCCTTTCGTTGTCTAATAATGCAAATTCTGTGGAGGCTTTCGTATAATTAGTGTAATTTATGACACTGTTCAAGGGTCGATGGTAAAGGTTTGACATTGATGTAGGGTAGCGAAACAAACAAAAAAGTTATTACCTATAACATTATAAGTAGGGTTTGGACCACGACTTTTTTCACGTGAATGCATATTTTTATATTATTATTGCGCTTCTTACTAGAAGCCAGATCACCTGATAAAGAAATCGACGTCACCCATATTGACATTAGCAAAACTTTATGATTGGAAAATGGTTTTTCCCGTCTCATTGAGTCAGATTTTTGCTGACTACAACCATCCCGTTGCATCTCCGGATCCGAACCAGGCTCCACCCAGGCTGGATGTAGACACTCCCAACATTAGAGCTATAAGTGCATTGCCATCCTTGGTAACTGCCAATTTGGAGATTTGGAAGTTAGAGCAATTTTGATGTGATTGTATTTG